GCGGCCTAGGCGGCGCAGGGGGGGCGCGCACCAGGGGGCCCAACAATAATTATTCTTTAGAATAAATAATGTTCAACAACCATTTTGAGGCTGTACGCTCTTACTTGCCCGCGAGTCATTCAACACGTATACCCTACACCCTCGAAACCCGCCCTCTTCGTCTTCGATCACACCCCTTTCGGGGGGATTATTTCTCTTTGCTGGGGCCGGCGGGCTTAGACGTACGGGCAAACCGGAACGAGCGGACAATCCTTCGGGGGCGTACATCTCTCTGCCCGCCATTGGAATTGGCGCGGGCCCTGCTAGAGGAGGAGGGGGAGAACGAGGGAGAGTGGGAGGAAGGGGGAGGGGAAGGACGAAGGAAGAGGGAAGATACCACGTTGTGAAGGCGTCCTTGGCGCGCGCGTGGTTCCTGAGCGCCGAAACGCAATTCCAGAATAATTTGTGAGGACGTCGCACGCGAGAGCGCAGTCCTGAGTACATTGTGAGAAAATCTCGGGCGGGAGCGGGGGCCCTGACTAAGTTGCGAGGAAGTCTCAAGCGGGAGCGCCGTTCCTGAGCAAATTGCACGGAAGTCTCAGGCGGGAGCGGGGGTCCTCACTAAATTGCGAGGGAGTCTCAGGCGGGAGCGCCGTTCCTGAGTCAATTGCGCGGAAATGTCAGGCAGGAGCGGGGGTCCTGAGTAAAATTCGAAGAAGTCTCAGGCGGGAGCGCCGTTCCCAAGTAAATTGCACGGAAGTCTCAGGCGGGAGCGGGGGTCTTGATTACATTGCGAGGAAGTCTCAAATGGGAGCGCCTTTCCTGAATAAATTGCGCGGAAGTCTGAGGCGGGAGCGGGGGTCCTGAGTAAAAATCGAGGAAGTCTCAGGCGGGAGCCGTTGTTGTTGTAGCCCGGGGGGCAGGGGCACAGTTTGAGCAGGAAGACTTTCCTTTAGAAAAAACCAGGTGCGAGCCCCGGGGGTGGCACTTCAATCGAAAAAAATCAATGTGCACCGGTGGGGGGGGATCAACAATAATTATTCTTCAAGAATGAGAGTTCAACAACAACAACAACAACAACAACAACAACAACAACAACAACAACAACAACAACGACGACGACGACGACGACGACGACGACGACGACGACGACAACAACAACAACAACAACAATTACAACAACAACAACAACAACAACAACAACAACAACAACAACAACAGCAGCAGCAGCAGCAGCAACAACAACAATAATAAGTTTAAGACTATTCGCCCTTATCTGCTGGAGCGTCCAAGAGCGCGTATTTCCCAAACCCTCGATACCCGCCCTTTTCGTCTTCGATCGAACCCCATTTGGGGGGTATACCTTTCTTCCCTGCAGGCCGGGCCCCTGCAAGCGGCGGGGCGGCCGCGGACCGTCGGCCTGGCCAGCGGCAGCGCTGATCGGCGGGGCGGCCGCGGACCGTCGACCCGACCCCAAGAGGGACGGACAGGGGACCGACCACGACGACGACGACGACGACGACGACGTCGACGACGACGGCGACGACGACGACGACGACGACGACGACGACGACGACGACGACGACGACGACGACGGCGAACGACGAGCGAAAGCGAAAGCGAGAGAGAAAGACAGCAGGGCCACAAGGACACGAAGTAGGCAGCGAAGGGCGACAG